AAGGAGTGGAAGACTCTTCCATAGTTAAATGAATAGTTTTAAGGAGAGGTAATGTGGGGTAGTTGTTGTTGTTTTTGTTTGTTTTTTAAATTTGTTTTTATTGATTTTTGTCTCTTACGGTATATGCAGAAGAGGAAGCAGAAAAACTGTAAGAGCCAGAGGTGATGACTGATCCCCAGGAAACAGTGTCTTCCTGACACCAGAACGCTGATACACATCTGAACACACAGAGGCGGTGACAGCAGGCAGAGCCCTGTGCAGGAGTGGTTGTTTAAAATTTACAAAGTAAAGTTAGATCAGTGTAACACGTAGCTTATAAAGTTATTGATGGCAGATAAAGGAACAGGGCCTTCCAATGTAAGAACTGCCCACATGGCAGTCAGTCCGACTCTGACCCATCCTCCTGACCACATGGATCCCATTCTCCTCCTGGTGCTCTTGGGCTACAACAGCAATCAATGCTGCCATCTGCTGGAGTTGATAGAAATTACAACACCGGATCATTTTCATTCAAATGTTCCTTAGGTTCAGGATTTTCTGAAGGTTTATTAAAGAATCCTAGTTAAAAGAAAGAAAAAGAAATGTAAATTTGGATGTAGTGACATACATAGGTAATCACAGTACTCAGCAGTCTAAGAAGAATAAAAAACTGGAGGTCAGCCCGAGCTACACAGTGAACAGTGAACTGAAACCAGCCAGGGAGAGGGAGGGAGGGAGGGAGGCAGGGAGGGAGGGAAGCAGGCAGGGAAGGAGGGAGGAGGAAGAGGGGGTTCCAATTACACATAATGATAATGTTCATCTTTTAAACCATCATGGTATTGTTAAATTGTAACTGTCTACACATAATGATAATGTTCCTCTGTTAAATCACAATGGGTATTGTTAAATTGTAACTATCTACATTGAACTCTGGAAAGGCTGTACTCTCCAAGGGTGCCACCAAACTGCCAGCATTTTTTTCTTTTGGTTTTTCGAGACAGGGTTTCTCTGTGGCTTTGGAGGCTGTCCTAGAACTAGCTCTTGTAGACCAGGCTGATCTCAAACTCACAGAGATCCCTCTGCCTCTGGCTCCCAAGTGCTGGGATGAAAGGCATGTACCACCACTGCCAGCATTAAGTCAAGAAATCTAGCCTAGTGAAACGTGCTTTGCAGTAGAACAGACTCCAGACCCTGTGTGCTTGCTTCTCCATTCAGACTGCCTGGGAGAGTAACTGGCAGGGCATCGTGGTGGACTTTTGGTAGAGAATGCACTTTTTAATTGATTAATTCAGAAGAGATCATCTTAGGATGGTAAGTAGCAAAATGACATCAGCACAAAGCTATCTGCTTCTTCATCACTGATGCTACTAGGAGAAAAAAACAGTACACCGATACTTCTGGTTACTTGTGATGATGTGAAAACTGTAAAACACTAAAAGATATGGATATTGATAAGCAGATGAAAATGACTCTGACTGTAACTTATAGAAAATGCACATGATTGCAAAGCATGGCCAAGAGGACAAACTGTCTGCCGATGGGTAAATCCTGTCAGGGACCTTCTGGGCTGGGATGAGTACATTATGTCCTCGGTAGTTTCCTTGATAGTCTCCTAATGTTTGAAAAGCAAAGCAAGCACACTCCCAGAGAGAAACTCGGCAGTGCCCCTTAATGACGCACAATTTCTAGAAAACGGTGGAAGCAGTTCTTCACTGTTCCCCTTGAAAAACAATTATCAATCCAAGTGGAATCCTGTTTTCCAGAAAAAGGGCTCTCTGCGTGGGCTTCTCTTTTGCGTCTTCCTCTGCCTCTTTTCGCTCCCCATTGCTCTAGAACTTTCTTGTCTCTCCAGGTCACTTGTTTCCACCAATCTTTCCCCTTGGTAAGGCCAGAGCAGCGAAGGCTGAAGAGAGTGATTTGCCTCCCTTGGGCCTCCACTGGGCTTTACACAGGGAAGAGCTAGGAAAACAGCCCTTTGAGGACTGGAGTGATTCATCTGAACACAAATCATGTTCCCCTTACATACGCTGCTGCCTTCTCAAAGCACGGAAGCATATAAATGTGCATCGTACTGCTGGCTAGGGCGGGGGTAAGGCAGAGCCCACAGGAGGACAGAGACGGGGGCAACGGCACGGTGGTGGTGAGACCTGGTTCACCTTCCCCTGTGCCCACAGAGCCTTCTTCCCCACAGGGGACTTCCAGCAGATCTCCAGGCTTACAGTGTACAAAGGCCAGATTGTGTCACACTAACGGGCGGCAGCATTCCCTTCGCGTCAGCTGCACAATACGGCCTCTGAGCAGTCACCTCATGTATATTCAGTCGCCTCAAATAGAAGTCATGACAGGTGCCAAAGGCAGCCAGGCTTTCTAACCATGGCTCCACTAATCTGAGGATGCATCTAGGGCTGTGGCTTCTTTCTGGTGTATCGTGGCACAAACGCAGAGGGAAACCTTGTGTACATGTAAATCCTGACTTGACAATGAAGCCAATGATGACAGAAAAACAGGGAGAGGAAAACTCAGACAAGCCCTGCTTTATCTTAACCTGTGATAGGCAGGTTCTCAAACAATAAAACATCCTTACTTTTGTTTGTTGTTTGTTTTCTGATGACTGGCAGTGTCCAGGAGCTCAGGAGGAGCAGGTGCCAGGTACTAAAATGCTGCCCCTGTTACCTGTTAGCTGCTTGCCAGAGGAATCGAGCATGCCTATGAAAATGGGAGGGGGAGGGGCAGGAGCTGTCCAGTCCATCAAAAGAAGCAGGGTTATCATTTGTTTACTGTTTTTCCTTCACCTGTGCACAGGCCTAAGAATAGTCAAAAGGTTCCAGAACTGACTGTTAAAGGAGAGCACAAGCTGTCTATGCTGGCTACATTTTACAATCACCTGGTACTTTAAAGCACCATTGAACCCAAAACTAGCCCCAGAGTGATTTTAATCCCCGAACTTTTCAAATGGAACTATAGCAGGGATGTTTTTTAAAACCCTGGCTGTGGGGTGCGAGGGGGGGGTGGGAAGGAGGGGGGTGCTGGGCGGGGGAGGATGGGCATGGGGGGGTCTGCAGGGCAGGCAGGCCTGGGAACCACCATCATATGTACAATGGAATAGAATGAGTTGTTTACAACCTCATATCATTTTTCCCACATTCATTCATAGCAGTAAGATCTATGAGCTGAGCATGAATTACCTGGATCTCAATTTAAAGTTCTGACTTATAATTGCAGTTCTTGATGTAGTAATTTACCAAGTGGTATCAGGCCACGAAACTGTGTAACTTCCTACAGAGTGGATTACGTCCTGAGGGATCTCTTCATTGCCCACATTTTCAAAGACCAGCATTTTATTGATTTTAACTAAATTTTGTGTATTTTTAATGTCACATTGATAATTCAGTCTGAAATCAATCTCATCTGAATAATATTGAATAATAAAATTAAAAGTTAGTAAGGTACAATAATTTTAAAGCCCAATAAAGCTTTTATCTTCAGCTAGTAAATAAAGAAAAGATACTCGATATTTGATTTAAGAAATGGAATATTATGCAATTACAAATACATTCACATATTCTCTGCCTATACAGATACATGTTTTATCCTTATACTATATATGTGTGTGTGTGTTTATGTGTGCGTGCGAGTGTGTGTGTATTATATATATATATATTTGTGAGGATAAATATTAAAATGTTTTGATGAATTTCCAAAGCACTGTCTGAAAGGTTCAGGCATTATACTGGCCTGCCCTGTTACCTGGCAGAATGCACTCAGGCAGTACTCTGGTCAGCCCAAGGTTCCATAAGAGCTAGTCTGCATGCAGGTGTAAAAGACCCCTTTACGAGACAGACCCCACCCACTTATGCTGTCTTGCTCTTTGCTCTCCCCTCGTTTCCTCTCTTGCCCCCCCCCCTGCTTTCATCCCGGTCTCTCTCTCCCCTTCTTGCTCACCCGCCCTGTAATAAACCCTATGGTTAATGTACTCTCTATGGTTTCGTGTTCCATCTCGTGCCTTCTAATTTTAATCTTAAACAAAAGAACAACACAATCACCTATGCCTCAGGCACCTAACAGACCAAAAATTGGACAGTTATCTCTGAAAGAGCTGTGAGTTTTCAGGAAGCCTGAAAATCACTGCGAAGAGCCTAGAACCCAGACACAAAGGTGTGAGTGGGCTATAGCAGAGTAATTCCAGATCACACTCCAGACCCCCCGAATTGTAATCTCAAAGGGAAGGGTTAGAGAACATGCATGTATATTTAGATGTGCATATGCATGAGTGTATATACCCTCAAGGGAACAGCTTTGATCTTGAGAGGGACAGATACAGGGGATCAGTCCTAAGTCTGGATTCCCTTCACACAATGCTGGGGAAACTGACTCCCACTGCCATTGCTGTGTGCATAGGAAGGTAAACACAGAGGTAAGCAGGAAGTGCTGAGGTGAAGTTGCTCCCCTATGAGACACAAATGCTTAAGGATTTTGTTTTCCTGTGCCTTCCAGAATACGCAGATGAGTATCTGAAAGACAGTAAGGACTAATACTGATCTCAAATATCACAAACTTCTGATGTGGCCTCATACCAAAACTAAGAATCAAATCTCTCCTCCTTATCTAGAGCAGGTGTATTTAGTGGACTGTCACAAACACATGTATTTTAGCTTTAGCTATGTGTTGGGGGAGGGTCGGGTGAGGGGTCTGTGCCCAAGAGTGCAGAGGCACTTGGAGGTTGGAGGCTTGAGAGCACCACCCTAGAGATGGAGTTGCAGGCAGTTGTGAGCCACCAAGGGTGGGTGCTGGGACCCAAATTCAGGCCATCTACATGAGCCTGATGACCTCTTACCCAATAAACCACCTCTCTGGTCCTCTAACTGCTACCTTAGTTACAAAGAAATTTTTCTTGATTTAAGAAAACATTTTTATCTTAATCAGATAAAACAAAATAATTGGAAATGTTTCAAAGAAGGGACTGTCTACCAAGAGTACATCCTAGCAATCAAAGGCACCGTAATAAATAAGTGCACAATTCCTCTGGGAATTATTATCTTTATTACAAAACAAAGACTTTTTCATGAGGTAACACTTCAATAGCACTTGAGAAAAAAACACACAATACAAAAAGAAAAAAACAGTCGAGTCCTATGTACAGAATTTTGCTATGTGCAACACATGTAAAAGACTCGGGATAGTTTGGAAAAAATAAAACTATATATCCTTGTTAAAATTATTTTTTCTCCTACCTCCCCACCAAATTACCCATAGCATCATCCATAAGGCAGTGTCTACAGAAGGCACACAAACACACTGATGTGGTAAATGAATTGGGAAAAAAATGTTTATCCAAGATTTCCCATTGTGTCACCATTTGAGAATGCTTTTACAAACCAAACATTGAGTATAAGATTTAATGCTGTTTAGCTCAAGAATAAATAGAATGATATTGTCTTCAATGGAGAAATTCTAGATAACCCACCAACTTCAGGCTTTGCTGCTGTGAACCCCTCTAACTCTCCAAAGCGAGGCTGGTCCCACCTTGCTGTGCCCCATACATTCTGTGCATTCTTCCACCATGGCATGGGCTCCCTTCTTCGGTACCCTTTAAAGGTGAGCCTGAAGCACCCTCCTGTCCCCAGCACCTTGGGCTGTGTGCTTAACAGAACCCCAGTAATTGTCAGGTTAGTGAGTTAGGGCACGTTCACATGTGAAGCTACTGTGCACTTTTACTGTGCCTGTTCTCATTCATGTCATATAACTTAAACTTCTAGGAGTGGGTGACTCCCTAGAAAACAGTGTGACATTGAACAATTCCTCACAGAAAGAAATGGCCCCAGTATTATGTCTGATCAAACCATCACTAAGTTATAGTTGTAGTGAACTCCCTATTCTTAAGACCCCCAAGACTCATTCCTGTGAGAGCCATTTCTTAGACAAGCTAATGCTAGTAGCCATCTTGGCAATCATTGTCATCTTGGTCCCCGATGGGTTTGTTGTGGTAAGCATCAACTGTTAGTTTCCTGCTGTCAGCCTCCATGTTTTGGGGGTGGCTGTCCTCCTCACTGCTTGAAGTGCTCTCTGTAGAGTTGCTATCTTCTTTGGATCTGCTACTCTCCTGAGAGTCACTGTCCCCCTCTTCCTCAGAAGCGCTGTCCTGCTCAGACTGACTCTCCTGGCTCCTGGTCTCCCTTGAAGCACTCTGAGACTGGAGGTCTTCCTGGCTGGAACTGTCCCCATCCTGGGCTGACTCCTGACTTTCCTCTGAGAGTCTGAGGCTCTCGTTGGACTCACTGTCAGCTTGCTCCTCTATGGACTGACTTTCCGAGCTGGAGAGTGAGATCAAGCTGTTCTCCTCACTGGACTCACTGTCTCCTGTCTGACTTGTGCTATCTGGGTTGTCACCTCTGGACTCACCGGCCACCCCTTCCTGAGACTCACTGCTGCTTTCCTGGGATGGCCCGTCCTCCTCACTGGACTCGCTGCTGGGGTCTTGGCCCTCCGGACTGTCCTCCTGGGACTGACTCTCGGTGGTGTCCTCCTGAGACTCGCTCCTGCTTTCCTCCTTGGAGGTGGTGTCCTCCGTGGAGTCACTCTGGGTTTCCCTGCTACTGGTGTCAACAAGCTCATCTCTGTCATCTTCCTCAGAGACCTGGGACCTTCTAAAGGACTTGCTGCTTGAAAATTCCACAGATTGGCTGTCATCCTGAGTGCCCATGAGCTCGAGGTCCCCTTTCAATTCTTTTGAACTCATCCCAGCACTGTTCACCCTGGAGTGTCCTCGCTCGCTCCTGCTGCCCTCAGGGTCATCACTCAGCATCCCTTCATCATCAAACTCAGAGCCGTCCCCATGGCTACTCTCCCCCTCGCTGCCACCTCCCAGCCAGCGTTCCTCACTCTCACTGTCCTGAGTGGAGTCACCTGCCGCAGGTCGGCTGTCTGCCTCCTCCTCACTGTCGTGGTCCCTGCTGTCACTGGCGGTGTCTTGGGCATTGTTTTCTTGAGAGGTGCTGTCTTCACTGGATTGTGTGGTGTCTGCAGAGTCCTCATCACTGTCCTGTCTGGAGTGTCCTCCCCATTCAGGCCCTGGACCATTGTCCTCATCACCAAAGGTGTCATCCCCACTGTCGTCTTCATCATCTTCCTTATCAGCTTCTGTCCCCACACTCTTAGAGAGACTGCCAGCTGGTCTATGAGCATACTGGTCACCGTCAGGGTCCACATCCTCTTGAGACTCAGTGCTGTCACTGGGGTCATTTGTCTGAAATCGAGGTAAACGGCTATGGTCAGTGTCCAGGAGCTGAGGGAGAGGGAGCTATGTAGAGATGGGATCTTTCTGCTTTTCCCCGTATGTTCCCAATCACTATCAGAACTTAAGTGAGAAGAGTGAGAAGAATAGGTTGAAACTCAAGGGAATTCTCTCTCTCTCTCTCTCTCTCTCTCTCTCTCTCTCTCTCTCTCTCTCTCTCTCTCTCTCTCTCTCTCCTTTTATCCTGTAACCCATGGTAACCTTAAACATACTGTATAGCCCAGGCTGGGCTTAAACTTATGGTGATCCTCCTGCCTCAACTACTTGAATGTTGGAATTACAGGCATGAGCCTCCATACCTAGCTACTTTCTATTTTGTATTGCATATCCCTCAATGCTTCAACCCTACCCTCCCTCAAAATTATCCATCCCACCTTTCTCAAGCGACAGTTTGTACCCTCCCTTGAGAAATGAGAGAACGCTGAGTCAATAAGTCACAATTCTCTCCTAAAGGCACATTTTCCCAAATGTTATGGTTTTGAATTTCTACAATTCAACATTCTGATGAATATTTAGTAAAGGATAAGCAGACTAGTGACTCACCTCCTAGGCCTGTGTAGGGTACAAAGGGAGCCTGCATTTCAGAAAGAAAACTACATTCCTACATATGCTGCAGTACTCACATGACAATTTAAGCTTAATGATAGGACATAGCTAGGGAGATCACTCAGTGGTAGAGCCCTTGCTTACCAAGTATGAGCCCCTGGCTTTCATCCCCAATACACACCAAACACAAACACACACACACACACACAGTATTTTTAAATAAAAGATATTAGTTTTCTGACTTTCTAATCCCCCAGGACCATGTTGGGACTGTCTTAAAGAGACAGGTACCCCTAAAGCAGTTGTATTTATTAATCATTACTTATCTAACATGATCAGTGTGTGCAGTGTGTGTGTGTGTGTGTGTGAACATGCATGTGCAAGTGTGTATTACTTGTTTTGTTTTTTTCTTCCCCTTCTTTTGTCTTTTCTTCTTTTTTTTTTTAACTAAGGGGCATTTAGGGACACAATGTCTCAGATGATAAAAATAGAACGAACAGCACGTTCACATTTGAATTTTCTTCTCTCACTTTTCCTTTTTTATTTCATGGGACTGTTTATTCTGCATAGCCAGTTATATTTATAACTGTTGCCAGGTAATTTAATCTCCCATCATTTTCCTTCGATTCCTAAGTAGCCAGAGAAGCTGAGGAAGCCTGTTTAATTACCTGTTCCTCTGAGCTAACTTTACTCTCATCGGATGACTCACTCTCCTGAAAGGGAAAAGAAAAATATTTACTTTCCTTTGTAATTCCCAAAGAAAAATCTTACACACATCATTAGTTCAATGTTTATATTTACTGCTTTCAGAATGATGAAAGGGGAGATGGTATTAAAGTTACTTCATGAGACACTTATGACAAAAAGAAGTGAAATATTTACCGTGGGTGGTGGTGGTGACTGAGCCAAATCACCCTGTATAAAGGAAGAAAAGTAGTTATGTCGCTGCAAGTATTTAGAATGATTTCAGGTGGTTTTTGAATTTGAGGGGTATGTATCATACTCTTATATTATGATAAAGTGTCTAAAACCTGAGGTAAAGTAAGAAAGAACCTGAGATATATTGACATAGGCACGGAAGGTCCCTGTGTTTCTGACACTTCACCCACTATCTCTGCTCTGAAGTTGGCTGCTCCTGCAACCAAAGGAAATGTAATATAGGACAACACTGCGACTCAGAATCCAGAGTTCGTCTCAGGTGACCCACTGCTTCCTCGTTTTTGGCCTTAAAAACAGCCATCCTGGTGTTGGCATTGACAGTCATGTGTCCAGGAACCTCTTAAGGCTCGGGTAATTGGAATACTGCTCATATACTGCAGGATGGGCAACTCTCTTCAATTGTCAGCTCCTTATTCATACGTGAAGAAAAGTACCATGATACTATGAGGTGGCTGTGAGAGTGATTCAGCCGACGGCATGGGAATATTTTAGTACTACTCGGCATGATATAGGCCAAAGAAATAATCCTTTGAGTATTTCCTTCCACCTTATGAAATTCAAGAACAGGCAAAATTGAATGCAAAAGCCATTAAGCCCTTTGTGCAGTCTGCAGAGGACAATGACATGGAAGGCAAATGTTAAATGTAACTGCAACAGTCATAGTCGTGATGTCTTTCACTTTCCCCAGCCTCGGAAGAAATCTAAGAATCCCTGAGCAAGTTCTGCCCTGTCCCCCTCCCCCGCCATCTCTGCTCTTCTTCTTTTCCTTAAACACAGAAAGGTCCTGTATGACATGCCCAAGGCGCTAACTAGAAAGGGGACCGTTGCTACTGGCATGTGGACAAAGGTTCACAGTGTATCCTGCAATGTCTATCCTCGCCCTAGGCAGGGCAGGACCCAACTCCAGGCTTCTGACTTAGTGTTGAAAGCATCACAGCCAAGCTGCATCCTATGAAAAAGCCAACAGGTAGAAGCAGAGGCAGACACCCACAGCTGACACTGAGCTGAACTCTGGAATCCAGTTGCAGAGAGGGAGGAGTGATGAGCAAAGGGGTCAAGACCACATGGGAGAAACACACAGAAACAGCTGACCTGAACAAGGGGGAGCTCATGGACCCCAGACTGATAGTTGGGAAAGCAGCATAGGACTGTCCCAGACCCCCTGAACAAGGATGTCAGTTTGGAGGTCTGATTAATCTATGGGGCCTCTGGCGGTGGATCAGTATTTATCCCTAGTACACCAGTGAACTTTGGGATCCCACTCCATGTAGAGGATATTCTCTCAGCCTAGACACACAGGGGGAAGGGTCTAGGGCCTGCCCCAAATGGTATGACAGACTTTGAAGATCCCCCATGGAAGGCCTCACCCACCCTGGGGAGCAGAAAGGGCATGGGATAGGGGGTCGGTGGGGGGCAGGGGAGGAGGAGAGGGACAGGGAACTGGGATTGACATGTAAAACAAGCTTGTTTCTAATTTAAATGTAAAAAGCAAAGCAATGAACAAAGCTCTCTGAGTTCCTGTTTAACCTTGACCTGCAGTGCCAATCTCTAGAACTGCAGACTTCCTGGGGCTGGAGCAGCTACCATAGGAAGTAAAAATGTCAACCTTTCAGTCACAGTGTCATGAATTTAAGATCCACCTCTAATGTTTATTAAGCATATAACCTGGACAGATTCCATTAATCCCTGAGTGTCCATTTCTGCTGAGTACAGTAGAAACAAAATATGCCTAGTTCATTGTGCCAATAGGAAAATGAGAAATGGGGTATACGAAATAGAACTCTTCCTGGCGGTGCTTCTTGAGTGACTGGCAGTTGGCACCTATGGAGCGATTGAGAGTTCAGCACTCAGTAAACATCACCATCATGACAAGGACTCCAATCTTTTCATCCTCTTCCTCATTACTGAGCTCTTGACTCCTTGCCTTCTAGACAGCTCTTATTTGCAGACTTGAAGTTTTGGTCTCTCAAGAACAGCTGGCTCATTGTTAGTCACCCCCGTGCCATGGTATCCATCATTATAAGAATAAAACTGAAAACGGTTTCCTCATCATGTGGGAATTGAAACACTGTTTTCTTACATGAACTAAGAACCATTATTCTTATTACCTAAAGCTTGGGTGTTTATATGCTCTTAAGTTATCACCAGCTTTATTATTTGCCATTGAGTCAACTGGGTTATACTAATCGCATGTTAAAATTACAGTATTTCAGAGAGTTTTGTTTTCTACTCACCGTCCATTCTTCTGAGCTCTCAGATTCAGTATTTTGATATCTGGCAACCTAGAAAGAAGAATGGATGCAATAAACCCACAGGGAAATTTTCAAGGCAGCATTTGCTAACCTTTCACATACTGGGGAGCAGTGGTAGTTGAATTCTAGCCCACCTTAGGGCCACCTGGAAGCTGTGTCCATTCTTAGAGAATCTGGGCAATGATTCAAGAATGTGAATTTCTAACAGAGGCCTAGTTAACGTTGATTCTGCAACTCAGGGGTGACATTTTGAAGACTGTCGCTATGAGGTAGAAGATGAGAATCATAGATGTATGAATGGAAGTGAAAAGAATAAGCAGTAATTTGGCCCATGTTTAAAGAAAACAGTCTCCTAAACAAGTGACTATTACTCTCAACTTACTGAGGCATACACAACCACCTGGTACATAGCCAGTGATAATATCTCTAGCATCTTACTTACCGGGAGGGCACAGGATAACCCCCAAAGGAACATAAGGAGGATGCCGGTCTTCATATTTGATGTGATTCCTCTACCTGTAATGAAAGTGATAGATGTTTCACTTCATGATACAGAAACCAGGATGCTTTCATTCTTACTTTTTTTTCTGTCAAAAACAACCCTCTTAAATATGCTCATCTTGTGATGAATGGGTAGAGAATGTGCACTGCATCTGTATGATGGAGTAGCACTTGACCATAAAACGGATCAAAGCCCTGATATGTGCAGATTGACTGGGCGACAGGTAGTAAAGACCACAGCTGTATAGGACTCATTTATATAAAGTGTCTAGGATGTGCAAATCCTTAAACAGAGAAAACAGATTCATGGTTTCCAAGACTTGGAAAGATGGGGAGCTGAGATGTGCTGACTCTCAGGTCAAGATGTCTTTTGTAGGTGATGAAGATATCCTTAAAGGGTAGAAGTTCACATCTGTAAAACCACTCAGCTGTATACTTTAAACAGAGGATGGGCTACATAAATTACACCTCTGTATGTTAGTGAAAACCTCACTCCTCATAGACAAAAGAGGATGCCTAGAATATTCTTTCACTAACTCAAAATATAAATCAGAAAATGGGTAAAGAAAAGAGAATAGAGAAGTTTCCAGATAAATATATTTTATAATAATTATGTGGTGTAGTGTTACAGAGCAACCTAGCCCCCTTCTCTCCCCTCCCCCATGTGTGTGTATGTACGTGTGCCCATGCATACACACACACACTCAGTCATTTTTATAGCTATATAATAAAGTCTAGACAAAGATAACTTGGTTTTGCACTTTTTGATTTGATCTTCAAGCCATTTGCTGTGGCAGGCTTCATATTACAGCCCCAGATAGCACTTAATGTCTACTGTGATACATTCAGTCATGCATTACACAGGATTATGCTGAATTCTCTAGGTGTCATTCATAGCGAGGACAGATCCAGAGAAGATTAGGGGTTTGGGGTACATTTGTGAATCACACTGAAAGAAACAGGACAGATCTGGAGAGGACTGGAGGTTTGGGGTACACTTGTGAATCACACTGAGACAAAGAGACCAAATTAAGCTGTCCTTCATTTCAAACTGTGAATGAGTGACTTCAAAAATGACTTGTTCTTTATCTCAACATAGACTTACCCAGTGCTGATGTTAAAAGCTATTAAAATACTTTTGAAGGGAAATAATTACCTGTGGGAGTAAACCCCGATTGACTTACATGTGTTTTTAAATATTCTGCAAGTTCATTTCAGACTCCTTGTTCATTAGTTTCTTTCTTTATATAAATACATGTTATAAAGTGAAAAGACATTTAAGCCATAGATTCACAACTATCTATTAGTATAAGATGGGAATTTTAAAATATTTTCTTTATTACCATTTATCATACTACATTAAGTTCTTTACCTAATATCACCTGGGAAGAACGTATAAAAATGTTCAGCTATACCTAAAATAAGTCTAATTCAACAGATGTTATTACAATCAAAATGCTTTTTAAGTTCTTAGATTCATTCTTTTTAAAAAGTGAAAAAATTCAAATGCAATTTTCTCAAAATAACTGCATGTAAATAGCTTTGGCTTCACAGGTGAAGGAAAGCTATGCAAATCTCCATTCTGATTTTACAATTTGAGTAGAGTTATAACACTTCATAACTCTATCAAATATCCCAGGAAACACCAGTAACTACGGAGTTCCTTGCATTTCCTCTAATTTCTCTATTACTTAATAACAAAAACATGAAGATATGATATGCACTTCCTCTGAATCAATAAAGGTTGTGAGTTTTAACCAGGAAGGGTGTGGCCTCGTTGTTGAAGTTCCTCCCGAGTAGAATGGTGTGCAGAGTAAGGAAGATGCGCTAACTTGCTCAGGCTTCTAGAAACATCATTTAAACCTGACCTAAAGCAGTAGTTTCCCAAGTAGAAGACTGGGAGCCCAGAACAAGGCAACCCAGTGTCTCAGGAGAGCTGATATTGGCTCCCAGAGAACACAGATCCATTGAAGAAAATCAAATCTTAAAGCCTATTTTGGCTCTTCAGTAAATTTTTTTACAGTGTTGTTGATGTTTTTGTGAAGTACGTTTTCAAGTGAAAACATCAAACTTTTGTGAACTTTTTAGTTACTCTCCAAGAAAGAATAGAAGATTCTGAATAACAGCTTAACAAGGTAGCCACAGGCCTGTCTGTTTATCATGAGTTCAGAGTCACAGCTCTCCTTCAGTTATAGCATCTCTACATTCGATATGTGATTGTTGGGTTGTTGAATTTTGTTGTTGTTGTTTTGTTTTGTTTTGTTTTGAGACAGGGTTTCTCTGTGTATCCCTGGCTGTCCCAGAACTCACTCTGTAGACCAGGCTGGACTCAAACTCACAGAGATCTATCTGCCTCTGCCTCCAGAGTGCTGGGGCTAAAGGTGTGAGTCATAATAAGTAATTATTTATAAGAGCCCCCAGTGAGAGAACTCAATAGCCATGACTTGAATAGCATCGGCTGGGAAGTCACTGTTCTAGAGACTTTTAGCCCTTCCAAATGGTTAGCCTGGAATTGAAAAGATCTAATAGTCAGAGTCTGCAAAGGGACTATGGTCTAGTTTCCAACTATCTCCAAAACTTTATGTTAAGTAAAGAAATTTGTTTTAGAATCTCCTCAAAACTAAGTTTCACTTGTAAGGCAGAGATCTTTGATGTGAACTGAAATGAAGGAATGGGCCAAAGGAAATAAATTAGAGTGGAAAATCATGGGTTCTTTTCAAATCCTTGGGAAATTACTTAGGTGTATTTTCTTCTTGATGTTAGCCTTGAGAATACTAATTAACAATATATTTATTTTTTAGCCACAGAGAAATATTTTCTGAGAACAACCAATGGGCCAGGCACTGTTCTAGGTGCTGAAAAACAATACTTAGTCTCTCTCTCTCTCTCTCTCTCTCTCTCTCTCTCTCTCTCTCTCTCTCTCTCTCTCTCTCTCAATGTGTGTGTGTGTGTAAGTTATTATTACAATCAAATGATCAGTGCCTACTTTCATTTCTTCATCATTACCCTTTGAAAGTAAAGTGGAATTTGGTCAGAATGTAAATTCTATTAAACTTCAAGGAATTAAATAAACAAATAAAATTTCCCCATCTTTCCTTTAATTGTGATTGCCACTAAGACAATTGCTATCAACTTAACATTATATTCCTTCATCCATGGTGGAATAACCATGAAGTGCCCCAAATATAAGTTGTTAAAAAAAAGAAAAAACCTCTAGACATCTGATACACCCTGGTCCACAGCACCATTTGGTGAACAGTGAACTGACTAAATAACCTTTACAAAACTGCTTGTTCTCGTGTTTTTAATCAGCAAAATTAAGGTGGGCTAGTGCACAGGAGTGTCAGTTAAACAGAAATTTGAAGCAACCAGGAGTCATGGATCTTACAGAAGACAGCTTGCTTCCTCCATTCAGCATCTTCTAGATGTCATAAGGAACATGTGGCCTGACCACTCTGTGTTGTGGAGGACAGATGCTCCAGCTATTGATGAAGTGAAACATAGAAAATCATGTCTGCTGGGACAACTGAGTGTCCTCTTAGACATTTATCGAGGTCTATCTGCTTGTAAAGCATTTTACTAACATGAATAGCCAACTGCCCAACTATACACTGTAGTTATCATGTGCTTGATTCATTCATTCCAGAGATCTTGCCTCAGTCTTTCAAATGCACACACAATTCATAATGACTGCCATTGTTCTCTAAATGAACAAGACTAAGAGATGTTAGTTTACATGTTTTGAAACTCCTGCCACACAAACTCAGATCCTCTCAAGTCTTCACAGCTAAGAAACCTACATAAAAGAGCTTTATTAATTAAAGTTAAACTCCAGGGGTGCTTTCCCATCAGCCCTTGTTTGGTAAACTTTCTTTTTCAGGAGTGGTTACACAGGAATCTAACTGAAGCATTGCCAGAACACCTGTCTTCTTTGACTTAACGTGCCATTTTAATATATTTTTCTACTGTGAAATTGACAACAAAAACAAAAATAAGAAGCAGTTCTCCTCCAAGCTTAGCTCTCCTCACCTCCCTCTGAGAATCAAGGCCTTGTAACATGTACATGTTTCATATTTTTCAAATATCAAAAGTTACTTTAAGAATTGAATGGTGAAAATGTCTTACCCTGGATAATTCACAAGGTCTTTTCCCAAAAGGTCAAAAGCCAAGTTGAGGTCCTCACAGAGGGATCTGAAAGAAGCCGCTCCCCCAGCTGTTCTGAGCACTTGCCTGACAGAGCAGAATTTAAACTCTGCTGCAGCTCCTCAGAGCCAATCAGCCCTGGGCTAGGGGAGACTGACATCAGAGGTGTCACCGGGACCCCATCCACCCACACTTCCTCCAGCTGCAGAAGTGGGTTTTCTCTAAAAAGCTCTTGTGGTTCTCAAATGACTAGACTAGTTCCCATTAAATTGAAGATCTTCCTAAAGCTTCAGTTTGCCTTCTAAATATATGTCACTCACATCCATGCAGGCTTGTAGACATCATAAACAGTGACGATGTCTCCCGCCCACTAACCGACCCCAGCAGACCCGGGGACGGGAAAAGGAGAGCCTGAAGGGGGTAGAAATTTCCTGTTGGTGTATATTGCCAGGTAGTACATGAGGGAAGCTACTAAAAGTCTAGATTTTCTTAGGCTGTCAGTGTTGAGAATGTTGCCTTTTATTTCCTCTCTTCTTCTTTTAATGGGCTCTACCCACTCCTTACCATATCTGTACACAGAAACTCCAAATTCTTATGGATCTAAGGAAGCATCATTTGCACAATTTCACATGAATAGGAAATGTCAAAGCACCTCCCTTAAGTACATTGTATTTTTAACAACATAAAAAAAAGAATTTAATCTTCCACTATCCCTGAAACTGCTTAGCACATTTTAGTAATTTTTGAAATCAGAACTGAATTAGAGGAATACTAACTAGGTGGATCACATCCAGAGAAGAGTTGCCAAGAAAGCCTGCTTCATCACCAAAACTGAAGTGAAACAAATAAACACTGTTTACTAGAATTCTTTCTGAGGAGTGTGCTGAAGTTGGTTGAGGATTCTGGAAGTGGGTTTGGCACCTGCTCAGAAGCATACTCAAATAACAATAGCATACCACTAAATAAACATGTAGATGATATAATATACACCACTAGGCTTTCATTTCCCCAAGGATACGAATGCTTGTTTTGTTAACTGAGGAATACACAAGATGGGACAGTTCTTGGGTCATTGTAAGTTCTCAGTAAATATATTTTTTTTGAATGAATGGATGGAGGGAGGTAGACAATTACCTTGACTGAAGTGCCTACATGACTCGTTCACTATTTTTAGAAACAACGACCTGGAAATCATTTTCAAATATGTAGGTTATTAGACTTACCCAGTGTGAACTTAAACTTGAGGGTGGCAGGATATGAGAGGCCTTGGCAGGGGCAGGGCAGGATGTGAGTGGGGGGGGGGGGGTCTATTTTCACATGGAGTTGGTTAGAAGGACAGTGTTCACAGGAGAAGCTCTCAATGACACGTATTCTGTTCTGTCCTCAATCCCTGGTGGCTCCACGGTCCTGCCTGAAGTCTATCCTACATAAACCTTATAATCTTGTGTGAGCATGGATTCTGGGAAGCCTGGAGAGGAAGACATTTAGATTCCCCAAATCCCCACACCCACACAGAAAGCTAGCTAGATCACTACAAATGAGACAACGGTAAAAACACAATTGGGCATTTTGTTGTCTACTGCATTTAGTTTGCAGTTTAAAACAGCTAGTAGTTTACTGCCTCTTACAGAGGAGTCTGAAGCCATCTGGGGTTTGACTGAACAGACTTTCAAGATAGCCCCTTCCCTCAGCCAAAATTGTCACTGTGTTCAGGCTGTGACTTGTCCCTATAGCTTGATAGTCTCACAACAGGACCACAGGGCCCTAACAGCTGCCCAGAATGCCATTTTCTCCGCGTTCTTTTGGTCAAATCAGTCAGAGTCATCCCAGATTCGGGAGAGAACACAATCTCTATGCCATGACCTGAAGGCCACAATGGACCTGCAGAGAACAGGAAATGCCAGGGTGGCTTTCAGATAAGCCATGATGCTGTATGGTAAGCTATTCCCACCTGTAGCCTCAGCACCTTGTAAGAGTGGGAGTGTTCACACCTGTAACCTCAGCACCATGTGAGGGCGGGAGTGTTCACACCTGTAATGTCAGCACCATGTAGGGACAGTAGTGCTGTGCACCTGTAACCTCAGCATTGGAAGGCAAGGGCAGGAGGATCAGGTCTCATTGGTCAGTCATGTTGGTTGAAACAATGAGCTGTGGTTCTTTAAAGAAACCGTTTCTGAAAAGCTGGGAATAGCTTACCATACAGCATCATGACTTATCTGAAAGCCACCCTGGCATTTCTTGTTCCTGCAGGTCCATTCTGGCCTTCAGGTCATGGCATAGAGACTGTGTTCTCTCCCAAATCTGGGAGGCACTGGAGAGAAGGCTGAGGGGTAGAGTGCATGCTCAGCATCAGACCTGAGATTTTCTTCCCTCGTTTGTGATGGTAGCAGTGAAGGAGGAAGCAGAACAAGGGGCAAGTCTGAGGGGCTGGCCGGCAAGTTCCTGGAGACCCTGTGGCAAACCAATAAAGTAATTAATAATAAATAAAGTGGGAGCAATGGAGGAAGACACCAAATGTCAACTTCTTGTACACCTATGTACACATGCATATACACAGAGAGACTTGCAAGAAATAAATAAAACAGATTAACAGAGGAAGACACCCCATATCAACCTCTGACCTCCATACAAATATGTACAAGTGACTATAGCTGTGCACATACATGTACAGAGAGAGAGAGAGAGAGATCAGACAATAGGAGCCATGAACATTTTGATAAGCAACAGTAGATATATTCCCAAAACAAAAGGTCCATAATTAAAGAAATTAATCAAGATTTTCCTGAGTTGGAAAAGATTTAAACCCAGTATTTAGAGAGCATGAATACTGACCTAAAATGACCACCACCAAGACCCATGTTTTGTGTGTGTGTGCATGTGCCTGGTGAGTATGTACTGGTATGTGAGGGGGGACGTGAGTACACATGTATGTGCATGTGTGTGGAAGGCACAATGAACTTTAGCACTACATTTATAACTTGTCTCATTGCTGTGGCAAGGTATCTACTCAAAACATCCTAAGGAAGTTGAGAGATGGTTCAGCGGGTAGGGGCACTTGTCACACAAGTGTTGTGGGTTATTATTTTAACTGGGAAAAGATTGCTACATTTATTTATACTTCATTTGTTTAACTATGTAAAGATGTGTTGCTGTTTCACTTTTCCTACCTAAGGCTGATTACAGGCCTGTCCCTGGACACTCTGATTTTTTCTTTTCTTCTCTTGTTGGTTTTGTTTTCTGATGCATGGCCTCACCCTGTAGCACAGGCTGGCCTGAAACCTAGAAAGCCTATGCTGCCTCTGCCCCCTAGGACTGAGATCACCGGACTTGCACCGCTAACTTTGTGACGTTTCTTTTTCTTTTCTTCTTTCCTTTTATTGAAAATATTTTATCACACAGTTCATCTTGTCATTCCACCCCACCGTCATGCCCAGTTCTTCCCCTACCTCATCTCCCATCCAGATCAACCCCATTTCCGTCTCTCTTTAGAAAAGGGTAAGAAAAGATACATTTTCATCGTATGTGTGTGTGTGTGCTCGTGCGCGTGCATGTGTGGTATATGTGATTTATTATATAGATATATGATATATATAATATGTCTATGATAAAACAAACAAACAAAAGCCCTGATGTAACATTACCAGACAAGGAAACTCCAAAGATGCCCTTGAGTTCATTCCCTGTTGGCTGTCTGCCACTGAGCACACAGCCTACTCTTAACAGGGGTTTGTTTCCCAGTGAGACTCCCTTGTAGAAAACTAATTTCTCATTGGCAGTGGTTATCGGTTGGAGATGGCTTCTGGGTTAGGGATGGAGGCAAGTGTTCACTTTTCCTTTTAGCTCTAGGGCTCCATCTGGAGCAAACCCATGCAGCCCTGTGCATGCTGTCTCAGTCTCTGTGAGTTTATCTGAGCTTTGATCATGTTGATTTAGAAGGTCTGGCTTTCTTGGTGTCCTCCATCCCAGCCTGGCTCTCACACTCTTTCTGCCTCCTTCTCAGGGTTCCCCGAGCCCTGAGGGGACAGATTTGATGGAGACATCCCATTTAAGATGAAATGTCCTAAGAAGGTCTCTTACTCTCTGACCATTGTCTGTCTGTGGTCTCCGTATTTGTTACCATCTGCCGCAGGAGGAAACGTCTCTGATGATGGCTGAGCAAGGTACTGATCTATGAGTATAGCAGAATGTTGTAAGGGATTGTTTAATTGTTATGTTCTTTTCACACACCAATATTACTTGGTTTTTTTTTTACCCTGGGACCCTGGGCTATCTTGTCTCAGGGTCTTGGTCACCCAATCAGTGTTGGGTGTGGTTTCCGTCTCATGGAGTGGGCCTTAAGTCAAACCAAAGTCGGGTTGGTCACTCCCACAGGCTTTGTGCCGCCATTGCAGTACCATACCCGAAGGCAGGACACCATTGTAGATAAAGGGCTTGTTGCAGGGTTGGTGTTCACATTTCTCCTTTGGTGGCAGGCAGAGAACCTTCCTATACCAAAAATGCTGGTATGTAGGTGTGAAGGCTCTACTTAGGCACCAGTCCAACTTCTCTAAGTTCAATGAGTTGTGTGGATGTTGTCTTCAGCAATGGGATCCAACTCTCAGTTTGTGGAGAGCAACTTATAGTCTTGGCAACAACCTGGGTTGTTTGGGGGTTCCCATGGGACCCTCTTGGCCAACAACTCAATTATATATGATCCATTCCCAGTGCTAGAAGCTTTATTTGGTGACAAGATATTTCTAGTTGGGGTCTCTTTCCACATTATTTGGCAATTTCATTTAGATCAACTTCATTTATTTATCTATTTTAGGAAGCTTCTACTATATTCAGTTTCCATACTACACCTCAAATGGCCCTTAATTTTAGATATTTCTCTCCATATTCCCTCCCTTGTTCCCCTCTTCTCTTCCCCTCCCCACTTAATCCTCCCATCCCACCCATGCCCTATTCATCCATAACTACCTATTCCATTTCCCTCTCCTAGGAAGATCAATCTGCACTCATCCACCCCAGCCCCTTTCTCTATACCTAACCTCTGTGGTTCTACAGACTGCAGCTTGGTTATCACTGACTTCACAGCTAA